ACTACCTAATAGTACTTTCTGTTACATCTTTTGTATTTATTTTCAACAGATATTCTTGATAACAAAACTTTTTTTAAACAGTGGATTTCATTGTTTGTTATAATATACGCATATAGTACAAAATAGAATGTACAGTTTTTAAACGTTATGCATTTTGTTGCATTTTTCTATCCAAATAATCCAGATAATATTTGAACAGCAGATATTGATAAAATTATATAAAAAGTCACATATTTTTTTTATGTTTGTTTTATTTATTTCCTTTGCTTTAAATTGTTATACACACAGAAAGAACTTCTGGTAAAATTGCCATATTGCATTTCTGGTTAATTAAATTCTGGTTAAACATGTAATATTTAAACCATTCAGTAATTTTTCCATTAATATGGCAACGGTTTATTGGAAATCCTGGTTTTCGAAATTATAGTTCGTATTAATACATATTTAGTAAAAAAATACGAAACAGAAATGTAAATGCAACCGAACAAATCGTTTTTATGACATGTATATATCATGATTTTGCCAAATTTTACCAGATTTATAAAATTATATCGCATATTATAAAACCATATTTTTTTATTAATTTTGCCAAAATCATTAGCAAAGAACTTTGGAAAAAATTAGCTGTGTTTTTGGTGTTTCCAAACACGGAAAATTTTTAAAAAATTTAAAAGCGTATTTTCATTTGTCTGAAATTTTATATGTAACCTTTAATAATTGAAAAAACTAACTTATTTTGCTCAGAAATGTTATAATAAAAGGAAATTCAATGAGATATTTACTTTTTATTTGATTCAGTTGCCAATAGGTCGTGTAGGATATTGATAAAAAAATTGTCTGCTATCAGAATGCTCTACTACGAAGGATACTTAAAGTATTTTTTTTGTCAGTATTTTGCAACATTTGAAGCGAGTTTAACTGATATTTCATACATTACAAGCTGATACAAAGCTTTCAAAACCTTTCGGAACTTCATCTAGTATCCCTATAGAATAATTGTAAAGAGATTTATCATTTTCAAGCTCTATACCCATGCCTTTTTTTTTCTCTACGTCGAGTTTTCAAAGTGTGTAAGAAATAAAAAAAGGAAGAAAACCTATACTTTCGAGATTTACTTCATGATTTATAGTGTAAAACTCATAAAAGGCAAACGAAAAACTATTAATCATAGTCAAATCCATTCCTAAACTGTTGATGAATAAGCCTTTCAATTTTCAAATCAGTATTGAAAGCGGGCATTTTCACGTGACATTTCTTGATAGAAGTGTTCTCGTCGATAAAACTAATCGTTACGCTGTCACAAATTCATGTTTCGATCGCTCTCTTATAGTCGTTTTATTAAAACATCTCTTATTTTCATCGCAATCGAAAAATCGTCTGCAGACATTTTTGTGTTTATTTTCTTTCTACAACGCAATTAAAGAACTTATTAAATATGCACTGTAAAAAAAAACTTAGTTGAGTTTATTTTTATCATCTTTTTGAATACGTGGGCAAGTTTTTTTTTTTTATTCAGATCATTATTTTCTCTATGGATCGAAAAAAAAATAATCGCTCAGTACTCCGTACAAAAAAAATTGTTTGCAAGCATTTTTTCTTATTTTTTTTTTATTTATCTCTGATTGCGTGGCATCACTTTATAAAACGAGGAGATGCTTTCATTTTTTAAATCATTAATCAAACGATTTGTCTAATTGAATTATTAATCACTTTAATGATCTTATTGGCGTTTTCTGATTCGTTACTTATTGATTAAGAGATTAAAACTTAAGGTTGAGATGAAATTAATAATTAGTTTCGAAGGTTCGGTATTTGAATATTGGAAGATGTTCGCTTAGATCTAGAATTAAATTAATTAGCCGTCTCCTTCGTTCAAACAAAAGTTGCTTATCAAATGTAACTGATGGTAAATCAACTAATTACTGCTACGTCAATGAGTAATTTATAAAAATAAGGTTAATTGTGTATCAAGTTTTTTTAAGACTTTGTTTGAAGACATGAGATTATGCGCAGTTATATGTATTATGAGATGCAGGCCTAATGCTACCACGCTACTGTGAATTAAAAAAAATCCTTAAAAGAACATGGACATTTGAGAATTCTTTTTTGAAGATGAATTAAGGAAAATTACAGTAAAGTCTTTAGAGCAATGAAGAAACACAGGAATAAAAACAATACAGCAATGAAAAATACAGCAATGAAAACATATAGCAACAAAAAAGATGATGCGTGAAAAAGTTACAGCAATAAAAAATAGCAATTTAAAAACACGTGGAAAATGTATTAAATTTAAATCACGTATTGCGTTTAATTGCGATTACTTGAAACAATTTACATGTATACATGTTAGTACAGTTTTGTGAATGATGTTTAAATTTTAATGTGGATGAAGTAATGTTTTAAAATATTTGGTTTCGAAGTTACTAGAAGGGAGTATTGTTTTATTTGTGAATGATCGTATTACAAATTGCATATAGTGTTAAAAAATTCAAATATTTATTATTTTCGAATTATGTAAACCAGTTTTCGGATAAACTTGAGATTTAAACTTGAAGCAATAGCAAAGAAAAATAACGTCATTTTTACATTTAAAATAAAAGCGGTATTAACAGTGAAATGTATTATATTTAAATATACCAATATTTTCTTATGAAAACGTTAATTTTTTGTGAAGTTAATGCTAGTATAAATTATATTTGACAATAAAGCACCGATTTTTAAGTTTCTACTTACACTAACAATAACTGAACAATCCTCAAAAGTAGCTTTTAAAGTATAGCAATATTATTTTAGCAGTATTAGTAAAATTTTAGTAGTAGTAGTATTCAAATATTTATTTATAAAGATAGTATTATTTTGAACTTTTTCCGTATTAACCTAAAATGGTAATAGATATTAATTCAGTTTCACCTAAAATATGCGACTTAAAAAGTAAGGAATAAAAACAAGAACAATTGGATTTAAAAATATTAAATAAATTAATTTCCAGGTAGCATTTCTTTTTTTAAATTTTTTTAATTTGGGATTAATCGATATTTGCTTCATCACTAATTTCAAATTTTGATATTTATTTTAGTCTAAGCATTTTTTTAATGAAGTTACAAAAAATATAGTATATTTGTTTTTAAAAAATCCATATTAAACTGAAATAAATAAAATCTGCTAAAATATTAAAACACGTAAATGGGTCATTTTCAAGAAACTCTTCATTTCAAGCCATGGGTCATTTTCAAACACTTTTGAAATCCCAATACTTTAATTTTCATTCCTGAAATAAAATTGAAAGTAACATTTTTAAGTTTTCAAATTAATTTACTGTATATTTTTATTAAACGTATATACATAGAAAGTTTAATTTCAAAAATAATATCAAGAATAATTTCAAAAATAAGTTAGAGTTTATTCAGTATCATCAATTTTTCTCAGTTCAAACATTAAAAGTAAACTTTAAGAAAATCCAATCACATATAAATGTACGATTACCACGAATCATCTTAATGTATTAAAAAAAAACACTTATTTTATAAAAACACTGTTGGATGATGCTCGATCGACAAAGATTGCTCAGAACTAGATAATGAAAGAAAAAGAAAAGAAGGGAAAAAAGAAGAAAACGTCTAGAAAATGAAAATGATGTATTTCACCTCAAACCCAGGTGTCTACAAAGGCAATTACAATTCCAAACAAATGAATCATAATTCAAACATATCAATCAATCAATTACAATTTCAAACAACTTTCTAAAAATGCCAGATGCAGTCAAATTGTCCCAGCCTTCTTTGTCTCTTATTTCTGCAACAACTAAATCAACTGCTACTTAAAAACAATTTTAATTCATCTAGTTGTGAGAAATGTGTTTTATGAAATCTTCAGCAAAGTATATCTAATATTTAGTTGAAAATTACTTTCGAGCAAAAATCTAACATTTTAATATTATCAATAATTTAATGTTTTATTTTTTATTTATCGTGCCTGAAACATTCCAATTACAGGCTTAAATTTCTTTTGCTAGATTTGAAGTGCCCCTTTCTTTTGAAAATTAACCGCATATTTAGGAACATTTTTTTAAAAAAATAAACAAAATATTAATGTACCAAGAGTAAAATATAGAATTATAATCTAATTAATTTTTCAAAACAAATTTGTTGACTTTTACTTAACTAGCCATTTAGAAAAAGGGTAACAAAATAAACGACTATCTCTGAGACAAAGAGACAGATATTATAGGGCAATTATTTTTCTTTTAAGGTGTGCTTTTTTTTTCATTACTTTTATCAACCTTAAATCTTCCTTTATTGTTGGGGAACGCTACTAAAAATTTCTTTCTTTTAGTCAAAAAAGAACACCTGTCACTTGTGATCTTACTCGAGTTGTCACAGAGGAATCTTTAAAGTTCTTCCTCACTTTATTTCACTTCTCTTCATGATAAAGAAAGGCAGGCGATAAAAAGAAATTCGTAGCATTTATTCAGGGAAGCATTTCATTCTAGCTTTTCTCTCTCTATCCGTTCTGTGCATTTCTTCCAAAAGAATGCGACTGTCAATTCTTAGAGCCACAACGGTGGAACTAAATTATGACATTAAAAAATAACAGTTTTGGGAAACTGACGAATCACTAATTATTTCCCTTTGATCAAGGACATTAATACATTCATGGAACGTCATTCAAGTTTCGAATCGTTTGGAATATATGCAGAATTTCGCGGAAAAAGAAAAAGAAATACCGCATCTTCAAGTAAATAAACATGCTCCAAAAACAGACATCGACCTGTGAAATCTGTAAGAATTCGAAGGTCACTCGAATCCTCAATTCCGTAGGTTTTCATCGAACTTGTGTGTGTCCATTGGACCTGGCTCCACCCATATTTTAGAACAATCTTACTTTTTCGCCATTGGGCAAAGAGAAAGTGTACAACCTTGAATTGTATTTGGGTTAATGACAAAAGAAAGATAATTATCAATTTTTTGTTGTCGGACATCCCGACGTACATGTGTGACGTAGGCCCATCGAATTTTTTTTAGAATAAGGAATCGGGATGATTTCGGCAGTATATATATGGCCAGAAAACCGTTATGTAGTCACAATAATCCAAACCTTCCATCCTTTAGCAACAGGTTGAAAGACAGATTTTTTAATATGATTGCTTTGGTAAGTATTCATCTAACAGTAAATCTGTGCTTTTAATTTAATTGTAAAGCTAAAAAATAACAGTATTCTGTCTTTAAGTTTCAAACATATATCTTGTATATAGTATAAGTCTTGGATTCCTCATGAAATCTAGAGAAATGATTTAAAGTTTTAACAATGGACGAATTTATTGCAAAAGAAAATACTGAAATTAATAACATTTTGCTGTATAGTGATAACACTATAAAAATTTTGTATTTGTAAATTCAATATACCATAAAAAATCTGTTTAAATGTTGATCATAAAATTTAAGTAAATAACAATGAAATTAAAATAAATTATCTTCAAGATCGCCTTTTAAAATATTAAATAAATACTCAATCAAATAATAACAGAATTATTATAAGCGTAAACTTATTATTGATTATTTATGTTATAAATAGAATTCTTTTCTATGTTAATATTATAAATTTAACACTTTAATGGTAAAATTTTCAATATATATTTTATGTATCAGAGTTTTACCATAACTTTTAAGTTCACATCTGTATTCGTATTATGTACATGTTTTCGTATATGTGTTGATGTTTTCTTAATATTGCATATTAGTAATTTAATAGCATACTAAAACCTTATAATTAACCAAGCAAAATAATCCTTATGTCGTTTTAAAAATATTCTGAAATTATGAAGTTTTTCTTCATTTAAAAAAATGTGTATAAGACTTTATTAGTTTTTTTTTAAATATTAAGTTCTGAAACGAAAATTATTTAAATTATCTTCAAAATACAACATTTTTATAAAATCAAAAAAAAAAAATTAAAAAATTAAGTTTTTCAGTTTTACTTAAAATGTTAAATAAAAAGATATTTTAGAAAATTTTTTAAATTAATCTTCTTTTATTTCCTAATAGGAATAGATATATTAAATAAATTTTATTCGTATTTAATCAGCCACAAAATTTCTGTGAAGTGGAAGCTATTTTCAATAAATTTGAACCTCAATTAATTTTATAAGCTTTATTAATAAGAATTATTACATGTCATTAAATTCTACGAAAACTTTCTGATTATAAAAGTGAATTTCAAACACTCTACAATGAATAAAACCACCTTCATCAATCAAATCATATTAATTCTTGATATTTCTTTAAAAAATTTTCGCGGTGCAATTTTGTCACAGTATCATTAATATCAACATAATGTGTTTCATTACACAGCAGCGAGGGAGGACGATTAATTAAAAATAAAAATACAAATCCAACACCTCTGCGCCTAGGGTAATAAATTGTCATTTTCCAGCTACTGAATTAGAGAGGTAATTAAGAAGAACTGCCGGCACCATAAATAATAATAGCATAATTGGGTTTGCTTAATTGAAAATAATTACCCACATCCAAAGGTCACTTGCCTAGCTTCTTCTGTTCCATAGATAAGAAACAAGAAAGTAAATATTAAATTTGTGCCGCTGCCTGTCTTTAGAGGATACGGTTGATAAAACTTGAAATTGTTTCAATAACTCCTGTCAACGATGATGTGGTTATCGAGTAAATTATATCGTAGAATTTAGATTTCTTTTGAGATTCGCCATTATTTTCTTCTTGTAATACCGCGCTGTGCTGCGAATCGTTAGGGAAAGTGCTTTCAAAATTTTCCCTACAGAGTCTCCCCATTATTTATTCAACCATTTGTTTGTTCATGTGAGCAAATAAAAGGATATGCATTATTTAAGAAGAATTCTGAAATGTTTATGTTAATATCAAACAAATTTTAATTATGTTTTAAATGTGATAATAGTTGCAATTTATGGAATTGTTTCTTCGAATACCATGTTGTATTGCGGATTATTTTAAAAACTGTGTTCAAATTTTCTATGCAGAGTTTCCGCGTTATTACTCATTTATTTGACTATGTTTGTAAACAATAAACTGCATCATTTGAAATTGATTCTGAAACACTCTCTTTCATATATGCACGAATGAACAATGAAGATTTATTCTTGGTATGAATGTTCTTGATATAAAAATCCAATTGATAGTTTTATCGAAGTTTTAACTTAAAATCTGTGGTATAATAATTAAAGGTATGTGTAATATTTTTTATCCCCTTACTATTCTAAATATGTTGAAATTTTTTTTAGGCTTTATTTTCCTGCCTTCTTGCTTACTGCTCTGCCCAGTACCCATACAATAATGACCCACTCTGGAATGTAAGACAACAACAACAACCAGTACATCACCAACCTCAGCACCACCAACCTCAAAATAACCAAGGAGCCAATGCAGCACCCGTACATTACGTCAGCATTGGCCAACAGCTTCAAGGCGATTACAAATTCGGCTACAACACCGGAAACGGAAATGATGGCAGCTTCCGAGAAGAAACCCGTAATCCCGATGGATCTGTTTCCGGAGCATATGGTTACATCGATGCTTCAGGAAAGCAGAAAATCATCAGATACACTGCTGGAAAAGATGGTTTCAAAGCCGAGGGAGAAGACATTCCAAAAGCACCTCCTGCACCTCAACCTGTTGCTCCTCAACCTCAATACCAACCACAGCCACAGTACAATCCTGCTCCACAATACAACCAAGCTCAACAATACCAACCACAACCCCAGTACAACAATTATGTTCAGCCTCAACCAACCCACAACTACAACCAGTACACTCCACCACAACAGCAATATAACAACAACCAAGGTTCCTACAATCCATATGCTCCTGGCCAAGCCTCTGGAAATAATAACCTGCTGTCTTACAACATTGGAGGTAGCCAACAACCCAACCAAGGCCATTACCAAGGTTGAAATGTTTGGACTCTGATGGTTTAATATCGAAAGCATAAAAAAGGTTTTGCACAAGCATTTAATTGTCTAATATCTACAAGGAGCTACTATTAATTATGAATTATAAGGTGATATACTTTACAGTTAAACGTTCTTAAGCCATATTTAATAGTTTAAAAAAATTCCTTAGTTGATTTTAGACACCCTTAAGGTTGTTACTTTTCAGACTTAGTTTTAAAATCTTTGAGTTAAACTAATTCAAAAAATTTAAGTGGAAGTTTGAATTTAAATGTAGATAAATTTGTTCCAAAGTCACATTCATATTGTTCCACCAGTTAAAATATATTTATTAAACTCATAACGTGTTTTTTTTTGTACGTCTTCTCTGTAAATGATTATTATCATGTCAAAATGAAAAGCATGATAATTTATTCCCAACCTTTTATTTCAAAGTTTTTGAGATTTGTAAACTTTTTTTTTAATTTTTGTTTTATTTATTATACGTACAATATAATGATTTACAAGCATGAAAATTTTCTAAAAATTTCCAACAGCAATAAATGAAACATTTCAAAAAATTCTGTTCAAACGTCTTTTGTTAAATTAATGACATACAAAAAGCAAATCTGTGAATAAAAATAAAAAATTAATTTAAATATAAAATAATTGAAAAATAGTCAGAATTATATAAATAAAAATTTAAAAATAAAAAAAACTATTGGACAATAGATTATTTGAAATTTAAAAAAATTAAACAGTGATAAAAAAAGATAAAACTATAATAAAAAAGATTAAAAAAATGAAATAAAAAAAATTTATAAATAAATTTCAGATTACTTTGCTATTTTCTAATTGTATTTAAAAGGAATTTAAGGTGTTTTAGGGCTTTAGTTATATGCTTACTGCCGTTTATTTTTCTATGTATCTTTTATATTGTATTTTTAAAAACCATGTTCAAGATGAAAAATTAAAGTTCAAAAGCATAGAATACTTTTTAAAAAAAAATTCGAAACAACCAAATTTTTTTAATTTTGTTTAAATGAATTTGAAATTGTTTAAAATATAAATTCATGAGCAAAATTTGAACTTTTTCCAATCAAAGAACCTTATTTAATTTTGAACTATTTCTTCTAACTTATTTCCAAACTTAAATAAAATTTTAAAATTAAATTTTATGCACTGCTGTATTGAAGTAATTATGATACAATAATTATATGTTTTTAATTATAGTAAAGGTTGATTTACTATAACACTTAAAATAAACCTATAAATTATTTTACACTTTTCAAGATTTTAATCATATATATTATTAATTCGATTGAATTAATGAATCTATTAGAAATTAATCTTTTAGCTAATCGGTATGCTATGAAAAAAAATTCTGTAATAATTATTGTATCTTTAAAATTAGAATAGTATAGTAAATGTTATTCAAAAATTTAATTAAGATTGTTACTTAATTTTTAAAAATACTCCATAGGAATCTAAATTTTGAAAATGAGAAACATGACGGATATCATTCATAAAATAAAAATTCAAATAAAATATTTCTTTAGCTAAAAATAAAAATAGCAATAAATTATTTATACTTTCTAAACTTCTATTTTATTGAGACCAAGAACAAAGGCTCAAAATAGTTCAAAATCTTTTCGTTTCTTTTTATAAGTAAATTAATGCCCAGTCTCTTCGTATCACACCTTCTATATAGCAGAAATTCTTTAATTTCATTTTTAAAATTAAAACAAAATTCGAAATTGCTTGTTTCTCATTTCATTTTTTAATAGTTAATTATCTCTTTATTATTTTCTATAGCATATTTATTATCGTTTGCCTTCTTCAAATTAAATCCTTATTGATCATAAATTCTATTTTCTCTGTAATTTTAATAATAAAAATATTTCTTTATTAAAATCATAACTTTCTCGTTAATTAATCCTTATTGATATCTCTGATTTAAAATTTATTTTATCTTGATTTAATAAATTTCATACTTTATAGTTATAGTTTATGGATTTTAAATTTTGCTTAAAAAGGCATTGTTTACTTTCCTTTCCGAGTATTTATTGCTTTAAATTTTATCTTCAAAATCATTCTTTTTAAAAATCGTTTTCTTCTTCTAAATTTAATCCGTATTGATCTAACGTAACTATTTTGTTTTCATAGTTCAATTAAAAAAAAGTGTACAGCTATTTATAGTAATCTATTATTATTTCAAATCTTTAAGAACAATTATGTAATTTTAATTATGTTAATCTCTCATTAGTCTCTTAAAAACTACAATTCTATTTTTCCTTATTCTATTTTTCCTGCATTTACTATCTTATATCTTATATTATTTACATGTAATAGACAAATTTTAATTCTGTTTCGTTCCTTCAATTATATCAAGCTGTTAATTATACATCTCAAAAAGCATACTGCTTTCTCAATTACATCTTTTCTTGAGCGATTTTAATTATGCTTTATCGTTTTTAACTTGTTTTTCTAATGTCTCTCGATAACTGTCGACAATAAAAGTTTTTATTATTTTAAGAATAGCTTTTTCTAATTCCTGTTTCTTCGAGAAATCCACACCTTTAATTTAACGCTCACGCATTTGTGAATGACTTAAATCCTATTTTAAATTTTTAAAAAAAAACAATGTTATTGAATATTATTTTATTTATCAAATCTGTCTTGTTCTCAGATCTTCCTTGCTCCTAAATTCTGTTTAGCTCTTCTATTCTTTATCTTGCTCTTTTAAAATTGGTATTTCAACTAAGTTTTGTTCCAATAGTATAAATTTATTTTTAAAATTTCGAGCATAAATAATAACACTTTTTATTTTCTTATTTAAAATCCTATTTAAATGAATGATTTATGATTTATTAGTTACCTGAATGATTAAATATTTTGATTTAATTTTTATATATTTATGGTTAAGAAAAATTGGAAATATTATAATATAAATTATGATTGAGATATATAATTATGATTGAGTAAAAATAGAACTATTAACTTAGATTTCAAATTTTAAATCGGCAAATATAATTTCATAAAATTGTTTTACATTTAGAATTATCCATCAGCAACGCTATTTACTTCTGCATAATTTTGTTCAAGAATTCTTTTTTGAATTTTTATTTTTACGAATGATTTACAATAAAACAGACTAAAAAATCTTTCAAAAACGTATTTTCGATTAATGTAAAACAAATAACAATTTGTTGTAAATCTAATTTTCCATCGCAAGTTTTCTTTTAAATTACTAAATTTAATATTTTTAAATGTAATACATCCGTAGTCTTAGAATTATAATTTAAAATGCTTAAGCTTCTTTATTTGAATTATTAAAAAAATATTCAATATATATTTAACCTAAAACTTTGATAAATGAAACAAGCAAGGCCTATATTTCAATACTTTTAAAAGATAAAATAGGAAATGAATACAGTCTCTTTTTATATTTACACTTATTACAAACAACAGCTTTTGAGCTTTTTATTGGGAGTTTTTGCGCATACCAGGAGCTTGGGCCCAAATTATTTGATGCAGCTGAATGCAAATAGAGCTTTTCTAGAAATGATTAATTTTTATTTTGGTTTTGGTTCAAAATTTAGCATAGCTTTTGGTTAAGGTTAGACAGGGAGCAGGAGGGCTTTATTGCTTGATTATATTTATACTATTTACTAAGTTGCCAAATTTTTAAAATAAATATTTTTCATGATTTTTAAATCCCTCATTTTATTTCTCAAGTGATCTTCAAAATTTCGCTGGTCGAATGTATAAAAATATATGATACCCTAATTTAAGAACACACCAACGAAAATTCCATTATATTGTAAAACTAAAAGTTTAATATGTTTTTTTCATGTTTGATATAATATTAAAATCCTTATCTGTCATCAATTATACTCTGATTAAACAATTTAAAATTTAATTTTTAAAATGAGGTTTTTAGTTCCTTATTCAAAACATTAAAAGGCCAATTTTGTAAAATTCTTTTATTTGTTGTATATGACTGAATTAATTGTATTTTTTGTGTAAATTGAACATAATATGAATATTGTTTGTATTTCCAAGTAAATTTATTAAATGTTTATGTGAGTCTATTGTTGTTAAAAATGACGTTAGTTTATATGTGTTCTTGAAGCTTTTAAAGCTTTACAGTAGCTTTGTGCCCAACAATATAGCGAATAATTCCGTGATAACTGTATATTTTTGTTTTAAATAAAAATATTTTTATTAAAAAAACAAAGCAAACTGTTCTTTATTATACATTACATAAAATACACATAACAACTTATCATTTATGCAAAATTTCAAAATTTTTCCTTTAAGTGGGATTTCACTTTACTGATTGAAACTTCCAACATTTATAATAAAATTCCTTTTTTTAAAGAAAAAGGACACTTTATACATATTTTTATATCATTGAAAACCAAACGTTCAAAAGTCACAAATGGTTAAATTTTATTATTGGGAGTACAAATTAATTCGGTTAGCTTTTTCGTGGTCAAAAATGCATTTATTTCAGAACAAGATGAATGAACAGATTAATCAAAGTATTGTCCATCGCTGGCTACTATTTTCCCATCTCTCATGTAATTTTCGAATTCCATCTCGAAAAAATGTGTTGTCTTTTGAGGCGATCCAAGTTAGAAGTCAATTTTCAATTTCTACGAAAGAAGTGAACTGGTGATCTGCAAAATCATACTGCATCCATCGGAACAACCAGTAATCAGAAGGAGCAATGTCCGACGAATACGGCGGGTGCTGCGAAATATCCCACTTGAGAGTTTCGAAAAACATTTTTACGACTTTCGTGACATGAGGCCGACCGTTATCATGCAGAAGATTAACTTTGTCATGTTTTTGCTCGTATTCCGGCCGTCTTTCTCATAATGCAAGGCTCGAACGAATCAATTGTAGCCTATACCGATCGCCCGTAATGGAATCACCAGGTTGTAGCAGCTCATAGTATGCAACACTAGTCTCCATTCTACATTCACCATTCTACATTCACCATTCACCATTCTATATTAACCATTCACCATTCTTGAAACGTGGAAACTATGTCCTACGTGATTTATCAATTGGAGCATTGTCACCATAAACTTCTACAAACATTCGTTTCGCTTCAACTGCAATTTCTTAAAATTAAAGCAGAAGCATAACCCCCCCCGCAAATGCAGCTGAGTTACCACAAAACTTGACATATTCTACAAATTAAAAAACAGGGTTTTTGTTTGAAGCTCATAGCGATATAAACTGAATATTATTGACAGATGTCTAACTTCTCTGAAACCACCAAAACCAGATGTCATTATGAAATATTCATAACAGCCAGATCCATCTTTTGAAAACGGGCCGAACTAATTTGTACTCTCAATAAAAATATAAGTTTTTTCGGTGTCCCAAAGTTATATCATCATCAGCAAGATTAATGTCAAGTAAGATAAAAGTAAGATCCTTTAATCCGACAGAGATTATGCC